TATAGACGCAGTTACTAATTTTGACACTACTTGTCGATGCTGTGGCCTCTGCGCAGAATAACTTGCGCCATTCGAGTCGGCATACCGTCTACCAAATGTTGCAAGTACTCTTGATCAATTTCGCGCCACGAAGCCAGGATTTGGGCCTTTAAAGCTTCCTTAGAGTCGAATTGTCGTCCATTGGCGTACACTTTCCGGGCCAGGACCCCCCAAACGTTCTCAATTGGGTTAAGATCGGGACTCTTCGAAGGCCATTCGATCGTGGGCCATGCCAATTGCTTCAGCCAAGTCGTCGAAAGCTTGGAGGTATGGATACTAGCATTGTCTTGTTGGAAAGCTGCAGTATCACTTTGGGACTTTTGGCTGAGGTCACGCATAGCCGGAATCATGTAGCCTTGGAGGGTGTTCTTGTACTTCGCAGAGTCTTGTCGACCTTCGAGAAAGGCCAGCTCGGTGGCCTGCTCTTGTTGTAGTAGCTAATGCCAGCCCAGATGAATACCGAGCCACCACCCGAGGCTCGCTTGGAGTAGGTCTCGACCTCGTTGCGCAAATCATGCCAGTAGTATTGGCAACCGTCCGGACCGTCCAGGTTGAATTTCTTTTCGTCAGTAAAGAGCGTAGTCTTCATGGATTCGAGCGTGTTGAGCTGCTTGGACGCAAATTCGACACGACACTTTCGATGTTCGGAAGTCAGCCGAGGTCCCGAGCGGCGTTTGATGTACTTCGCAAATTTGGACATTTTGAGAACAGTTAGGACACAAGTTCGCTTTACTTTACCATCTAGTGCAGCGGATATCTGCCTAGCTGACATACCCTTTCGGGTAGCGAGTCGGAAGATCCGTCGTACTTCTCGACGCGTCAGTTTCAGGCGTCTTCCACCGCCTGACGGTGCTGAATCCCGGGCGAAGTTGGCAATACACGTTCGAACGAGTTTATCGCTTCGTCCCAATGCTCTGGCGATCCATCGAAGCGGCTTTTTGAGGCGCAAATAGGCCTTTATTTGGCCACGCTCGATGTCGGTGATGTTTTTGCCGCGAGGCATCGCCAAATGTGGTGATTATGTTGATTTTGGCGCCGAAATGGTCCTGTTCAATCGAGTAATCAATTTGATTAGAAATTTGATTAGAAGTTTGCATTCTGATTGGCCAAAAATCGAACTTTTCGTGGATTTTCGCAAACTGCGTCTATAGTTTCCGGCCAGTCCAAAATATGAAAAATGAACTTTGCAACATTTCAACTGATCTTTAGTTCAAGTCCTCTTGAGGGACCCTTTTACATCACTGTTCGATGGTGGGGACACTTAAGGTTCGAGCTGAAACGAATGATATCATCATGAACTCGTAAATTGCGAGGTGCGTCTATAGTTTTCGGCCGGACTGTACAAACTAGCTTGTTTCGTAGACACCGCCATAATTAGTTTGTAGACTGCTGTTAAATTGAGTGTAGAGTCTCATTGTTTTATATATTTTGCGATCCCTAATGAAGCATCGACATCAACAGGCGGCTCTGCTTTACCTGGAAGATGCCCTCCAGCGATAGGTGCATCATACAGCTACGGAACTCGTCGAGCTCCAACTTGAGTATCGAGAAATCCGACTCGACGGTAGTCGTGTTAGCGAGCACCTATGCCAACCCGCAGCTGAAAGCGCAGAGGTTGTCGTAACCTCTTGGTAGAATATCCCACGCGTCGTTGAATGTCGTCATGCTGTTATGCATGTCGATGCCGGCACAAATGATCCTGTCCTCCTTGTGCAGCTTGAAACGTTTGCGATGCTCCTCTTCGACCATATCGACCCTTGAGGCTGACTGGGATCTTGAGTCATGTCCGCGACGCACACTCAGCACGTCCTTCGCGAACACACCAGGACGCATCTTCACGAGTTGAGCGGGCATCACCGGAGCCGAATACTGGACGACAGCTAGATTGTCGCTGTCGCGCTCGGCATTGACGTTATTGAGACCCACGATCAGTGTAATCACATAGATCGCGATCACGTTGACAATCCTGCTCTTGTCTGCATCATATATTAAGACCCTCGTAGTTCTCCTGCACGAACGATCTCTCACCAGGGACTTAATTAACTGCTAATTCCCTGGTGATTAAGTCTTAGTTTGTAGACACAGCCGAGATTAGTTTTGTAGAAATCTGTCGCTATTTATAGCGAATCCACAAATTAAGGAGTCCTGTTATAAGCCCAATAAGCCTAAGGGATCTAGAGCCCGCGAATACGAAGAGCGCCAGAGCGACTGCCATCAATGCGTTCAAGCGTTTTGTGGAGAGTGAAGACGTCACGTACGACTATGTTCATTGATGTGTGCAACTTGATCAATTGGAAACGACCTTCTTGGGCGTCATGAACAAGTTTGGAGCGTACTTGGGGTTTCTTGTGTTGGATAAGCGGACCATACTTACTCGGAACACAGTGGCATCATACTTTCGCAATGTCAAGTTTTGGCTGATGGAGCTCTACCCTGCATGTCGCAACCAATCCACAGCCATCATGCACAAACTGGGAGGCGTCCTGGAACGATACTGCTTAAAGCGAGACTCTGGTGGAATGGTTGTGAAGGCAACTGCAGCAACAAAGAACGATTTGAACACTTTGATTCAATTCGCCAACTCGACTACTGTCAATCCTAAAGACTACAACGACGCGTACCTCTTGCTGTTGTTGTGGTATTGCTTCGGACGTGCATCGGATCTGTTAATTACTGAAGCGGCGCAATTTCTCCATGGGACCACAGGAGGAATCTACGCTGACTACAGCCGCTCGCGCTCACGTGATTTTAGTTGCCTCCGACATGCACGACAAAACTGGACCAAGAAACAGACGTCATGCACGGTGTGAGTGACGTCGACGATCCACGCAATGAGCGCGAGTGAAGGCGTACGTGTCATCCAGGTCCTAGGGGGTCCTACTACCTGCGCAGTTCGTAACGTATTCAGCAGATGCATGGCACCTAGCTCCCACCGGTGGTCTCTTGGCATGGAATGGTGCAGGACAACTTGGGGCTCTATTCGGTTTAACCCCCCGGTGACGCTATATAGGCATATATAGGTGTTTAAAACCACTTTACGTGGGCCGATTGCAAATAGTGTGTACTAGTACACTAGTACGCTGTATCTGTACTGATTATAGTATATATAAATCTATATAGGACCTATATATCACTGTATATACGTCCTATATACTTCGTAGTACCTATATCGTTCTATATACTACTTATATACATGTACTATTAATAATACTACTTAATGCTCAGATTATTTTACACCATGACACTACTGTACTGGTGATGCCTGCGGATAGTACACACTAAGCCCTTAAAATACGCCTTACCATCTGCACCTGGAGAAAAATACCAGCTTCGCCAAAGGTATTCGTCCAGGTATGAAGGCAGATGGGGTCTGTGTATCCCGCTCATCGCTTTGGAGAAGCGCTTGATCCGCATTTCCCACACGCCTTCAATTGATTGCGTGTGCGCGCCGTTAGCTGGGTTGACAAAGTTCGCTGAATGATTCACCCACTGGTGGCCATACGATTGGTCGACCAACAGTGGATTGTTCGTCAGGTTGTGGCGTTCATAGCCGACACGTATGAGCAAAACTTGTCCGATCTAGAAGCATTTTTAGACGACATAGACGTATATAACACTATATAGTGATCTATATAGGCCTATATGACCTATATCGGCCTATATAGTATTGTATATACACAACTATATAGTCACATACATGATGTTGGTTCCAGGGGCAATGTGCTTCTTGATGAGCCGCGACAGCGCTGGTTTTGTCCGGTCCGCCCCTGTAATGACGCCAAACCATTTCTGTCCTGTCGACCCCACCAAATACCCAGTGCTCAGGGTAGTACCTTCCGCGGTTGTATTTGCTCTTTTTCTTCATTGAGGTCTCATCGATTTCGACCGTTACGCCTTCGCCGCCAACCTACTCGCAAAAATGAATAGGATATATAGGTCTATATAGACATAGGTCTATATAGACATAGGTCTATATAGATATAGGGGACTATATAGTCCTATATAGTCGACATACCAGCATCGGGGCACGCAACATTTCCGCCGAACACAGGTCGCGGCAGTACTGGTACCAATCCACACCGGACTCACGCGCAACTTCTTCTTCCGCAATCACTATGTCAACGGGCCTTCTTGACGCCCACGCAACATAAGTGGCACCAGCTTCGCCATAGGGATCTTGGAACCCTTGAACCACGACTCAAACCGCATTCCACGCTCAACGCTCCCGCCGCCTGCACACGCCGCACGCCTGCAACGCCATCGCTTGGACTTCAACGCGAAGGACATGGCCAGGTCACACTTGGGGCATGTCGCGGCGTTGGGTAGGAGACCGACCTTCATGCACCATGCAACACAGGTGTCTTCGTCCATGGTGGCCTTTAGAATAGCATGCCACAAAAATTCGCCTACGTCAGACATGTCGTAAGGCACGAAGCTCTGGGGTAAGTCGCCGTCGAGGTCAACTTGGTCCAGCGCCGGCCCATCGGCTTCAAGTACGACTTCCATCCTTGAATATAGTTGCATGTCAAATGTTTGAATGGCATCAAGGCGCCAAATTTCCAACGCGGGAATATACCCGGAAAATCCGGTTGAGAGAAAAATGGGTCGTTGTATTGTATACAAAGGCGAAGTGACACTATATAGGCTATATAGGGTAGTCAGGCACTATATGGCCCCTATATAGACCCTATACAACCTATATAATTTCCTATAGAACCTATATAGTAACCTATATATTCTATATAATTCCCTATATAGCCTATATAGTGTCCTGTATAACCTATATAGTGTCCTATATAACCTATATAGTGTCCTATATAACATATATAGTATCCTATATATCCTATATAGGATACTGTAAAACCTATATAGGTTCCTATACAACATATATAGTATCATATATAACCTAAATAGCATCGTATACAACCTATATAGTATCCTATATAAGCTATACAGGATACTACTTAGGAGATATAGTATCCTATATATCATCGAAGTATTGTACATTATACAGACTACATGACTACATGGAGATGAGATGACTTCGACACAGAACATTTCGAAGTCAAATACACTTCATTACTTCTTAGCTTTTTAGCTGCCGGTCCATTCTTCGAGGATGGACACGTGCTCCAGCGATTTGCTGGAATGTCCGCTGGCTCTACAATGGTTTCGGTAGACGGCTCCTTCAGAGAAGAAATTAGAGTTTCCAGCTCCGGAATATCCTCACCAAGGCGACGAGCTAAACGAAGAAGAATCAGAAACGAGGCATGTGCAACACAGTTGTGTTCCACAAGCACTTGCAGTCGGCCAATGTCCTCACCAAGTGGGACATCGGAAGGACGAGGAGGTTCTGGGGCCACAACGGGAGTGAGCGACGGCGCGTCGATTTTTAGGCCATAAAGGGTACGGCCATGGCGCGGCCATTCCAAGCCATGTACCGTTTGTACATGGGCCTTGAATCCGTCGTTTGAGTGGCGGACACCTTGTCACAAGCGACATCGTCCGTGATGTTGCAAGTCCATTTCCGCATGTAGTTCGAGCGCTGGGGGAGAGCAGCCATTTTCGAATTGTTGGCTGTGTTCGATCTGACCATCCAGATAATTTATCCGGAAGCTCTGTGTAACCAATAATTCAAACCTGCACACTATTTGCAATCGGCCCACGTAAAGTTGTTTTAAACAGCTATACAGGGAATGACGTATTAAGCGCCCCCGTGGTACTTCGAATTGGCATTTCAATTGTGTATTGGGACAAACTACTTCGAAATTTCAATACTTTAATCAATACGAAATTTTAGTACCACGGGGGCGTTTAATACGTCATTCCCTGTATATGCCTATATAGCGTCACCGGGGGGTTAAACCGAATAGAGCCCAACTTGGACCCACAGAAGGAAACGTTGTACCATGCCATATAGAATGAAGGACGTTAAAATAATCATGTATATAGTAGCCATGATGGATGTGTTCACGTGTTTGCCGATGCTTCACTACGGATAGTGAGCCGCGGCTGAGTTCACCATCGCATCCATCCACTTTTGAAAGTGGCATAAAATATTTATAGTATACGAATTTACTAATGTTACATGTTAATTAATATATTATTGTCTACGCAGCTCAGTGGTTGGAGCGTCAAGTTGTTAGCCCAAAGGACCCGAGTTTGATACCGCCAATTTTTGACAAGTGCAATTTAATGGTACTACGTAGTGTATTTTTCATGTGGAAGTGGCGCTTTGGATCCTACTTGAGTTTATGTTAAAAGCATACTGGGACGGACGGAATGCAACGCCCAACTTGTCTTCCAGTTGGTCGGTGAATTCTACAATCTGATTGGTCATGGTACTTCGATGTTCGAAAATTAATGCAGCCTATCACAGACCGCTTTCGAAAATTTGATCATATCAAGAGGTATTAATATTCTACATCAAAAGAAGGTGCAAGACGGACACTCAAGAACTTTCAAGCTACCGATTGAAGAGGTCATAAGTATTCAGAGGTGAAGAAAAGCAATACTTCGATTGAAACAATGGATGACGTACGAGCGTAAGCGTTCGACGCGATAGCGCAGTGGTTAAACACGTTGTGTGTCTTGAGTGAGTCCCGGGCGCGCCGAACTTTTTTCTATAAAAATTAACTTCACTCAATATCAAGAATTTTGTATAAAATAAAATGTATTTAAATTGCAAAAATTATTTGTATTCAATTTACACGAAGTGCCTTGGCAAATGCCTGTCAAATGACGTCAGCAGTGACCATATCCCATGCAGCAATGGCACGCAACACCATGGCCATTCGCTTTTGACGAGCAGTTGGTGATACGGATCCTCATCGTCGTCCCCTTCAAGCTGCTCTTCGTACAACCACAAGTTACGTAGGTTGCGCTTGAACGGCGCCATCACCCCGACGTCAAGTGTTTGGCATACCGAGGTTGCGTTCAGCGGCAGAGCACAAAGGTGGGAGCTAAGTTCTTCATGCATGGCCACGAGGAAACGTAGGGAACTCTTTGGTTTAGATGCGCGCCCCGGGTACTCCCTTCATGATCAATAACAGGGGCAGCATTTGACCGTCCGCTCGCGCCGTTAGGACCGCTGTCGAATGCTTCTCCCCCGTTGAGATCTTGGCGCTGCCGCCACGAACAGCCCAAATGTACGTTGGAGGGAGGTTGTAGTACATCCCTGTCTCGTCGATGTTGAATACGCAGTCGTTCTCTTAGGATTGGTATTCCCGATGGAAGTCGCGGGCGAACTCGTCGTAGACATCAGTCAAGACCGCCGGCTTGAGTTTGGTCTTTGTCTGCCGCTGCCGAGAGAATCCATAGCGCTGGCAGAAGCGACGCAGTAGTCGGAGGAGGGCGTCGTATCGACGTCAGACTTCTTCGTTGCAAGGTACGACATCTACCACGCCCTTTGGTTGATCCTGATCCAGGTGATCATGTGAGTCATCGGTAGAGCACGTTCGTCATCTCACATTTTGTTTATAAATCCTACTGAACCTGGTGGATCTGGGAACTCTTCGTATCGTCCACCTCGTTCGATCTTCTTGTTCTTCTTGTTGCCATCGAAGGAAAGGAGCTCAAAGCGCTGAGCGTACCACTATCGTACAGTTCGTCGTGAGACGCCCATTGCCTTCGCCACCTCTCGACCAGATAAGGTCTCAAGTAGGCCGATGGCTTCAAGCTTAGTTGAGATCGGATACGACGCACGCCTGTGCACGTATTTTTTTTGAAAGCCAAGTTTTCCCGCTGGCGCGAAGAATAAAAATTCCGCCAATAAGATACGAGTATTTCGAATCTTGATTATCATTGGATGAAATTAATTCTGATACTCAAAAATCTTCGGTGGGCGTTGCATTCCGTCCGTCCCAGTACTACACCATTTTGCGTTTAATTTCAGCTTTTGTTTTCAAAACATTTCCACTAACCTCTGATATATTTCACCGAATCACCAATATAATTCACCCAACCTCCATTATATTTCACGCCGAATTGAAATTTGGCCATTATATTTCACCCAACCTCCGATATAATTTACCCAACCAACGCTTAATTTCACCTTTCGAAAATATATTCACCTGACCACGGGTATATTTCATGGAAAGTAAGTTAAAACCAACCCACGCATCATATCTACGACATCTACGGCTCAAGCACTAACGTCCATGTCTTCCATGTTCTCAGCACGGACATATAACGGCTCAAGGCGGGCCGTGTACACATGCAAAATAAATGATTCGGATCAATTCCTAATTTATTGTTGAGTTAAATCTTTTAAGTCTGTCCGTCTTGCGGTAGCCCCATAAAGGCCGCGACTCGTTTGCGCAAAGATGTTTTAATGCGGCTCTTCAACGCCGGCCACATATTCTCGATCGGGTGCAACATCGGGGAGTACGGCCCTTGTTTTAAGAACGAAGCGTCTTGAAACGTCATGTTAGCGGTCATTCGTATTAACAGAGAGACGTACCGGAGTTTGTGGTGCAGGGATGGCCTCTTCCATAGAGCCCAGATTCAAAAATTGTGAAAGCGCGCGAAACCTTCGCGCGTTTCGATCTTTCTAGAATCCCAGCTCGAATTTTAATAACAGTTAGGTGAAATATATTTTCAAAAGGTGAAATTAACCGTTGGTTGGGTGAATTATATAGGAGGTTGGGTGAATTATATAGGAGGTTGGGTGAAATATATCGCCGATATATTACATCGGCGTGAAATATAATGGAGGTTGGGTGAATCATATTGGGGATTCGGTGAAATATATCGGAGGTTGGTGGAAACATATTGAAAATAAGCTGGAATTAAACGCAAAATGGTGTAGTACTCGAAGATCATTGTTACAACCAACCTCAGCTAGGGGCGTGGACCATTGAGGGTGGTTTCCATGGATTCCTGTGGATTGTTGCGGGTGGGGATGCATGGCATTTTGCGTGGGAAGTTACAATGGGTTTTCAAGTGTGTTCACATGATGTCTTATCACAAGTAGCGCCATATCAAAATAGAAGGTGTATTAAGAATTCGACGTAGCTACATGTGTAACAAACAGCATGTGCCTCCAACTACTGTAGTCCCCACGTAGACTATTTAAATGCAAGCGGATGTCCAACCGTACATCGGTGACGCACATTTCTTCCCGCACCCTGCGCACGACGACGCCGTCCTGTAAACCGAGGAAAAGCTGCACTTCGATTGCGAACAAACGTTCTTGGTACACCGTTGAATCCTTTCCCAAGGACGTGCAGCGCGTGCAGAAGGTGAACGCAGAACTTCGTTTTGAAAAAGAAGTTGCATTCACACGCCAACTTCCCAGGGACAATACACACGTGCTATCCACACGACGGCTGGGCATTCCCGCTGCATATCGACTCATGTCGAACGCTGTTGGCCTTGTAGTTGGAGTGATAGGCGTTAGCCGTCGCCAGCATCTCGCATGGCATGGTGGTGATCCCTCGGGCAGTCAACTCGATGATGTACGCGTATTCTTCTGCGTCATTCTCGAAAGCAAATGCCATGGAAATAGCAAGCGTTGGGACAATACCAAAGATCCGTAAATCGTCAGGGCCCAGTTCAAATTCCTCGTGGGGTGGGACAACGTGTAGTAGGTCATGCGCCATCAAGCGACTTTGAACCGCCTGCGGAGTTTGACGCAGGGCAGCGCCGCCAACTCGAACGGTAGTTTCTTGGACGTAGAGTACTCTGCCGCGACATCACCCAGCAACACAAATGTTGCGCATAGGCCATGAATCGCCGTTGCGTGTAAATGCCTACAAGGCCGGTTGAATTAGTAAACAAGTACTTTAATTGCACTACTATATACCGGCAAGTTCAGTATACTTTGCATTACTACATGCCGTACCTTTTTGCTGTTGAACAATTCGCAAGGATTGTTGGTGGTTGGAAAAGCCCAGTGGGGTGTGGTACACCTACCAATTGCAACAGTCCCCTCCGAGCCACTGACCTTCAAAGTACCGGGTGAAGTTCTTCGACACTAGAACCTCACACCCTCCCCATGCCTCTTGCGCCTCGTGCCAATACAAGTCGCATTCAGCCTTGATCCTGCTGTAGTGCATTCGGTACAAGTGCCGTAGCACCTGGGCGATGACACGCGGCTGAACTGCACCCAAACGCTTGTACACACACGCGACACAGTAGACCTCCAGTCCAAAGACTCGATGTATTTGCAGAGGTGAAGTTGTGTGTGATGGATTTAGTGTTCCAGAATATTTCCATGTCTCTGAAATTATAAGCACCAATTCCAGAAGTATGCACCATCTTACGAAGTGATGCAGTATAGGAAGCAGAGTGTCCCTATTCTCCGATAGAGATTGAAGGAATTCTAAACGTCTAAATACCTGATCGACCTAAATGACCCCAATTGAATGTCTATCTAAGGAATCATTAACAAAAGAAGTCCAAAAAATTAACCTTTAAGACACGTAAAAACCCAACACGTTTTGATAAAACCACTATTCAATTTTACAAAATAAGTACACACTCCTATTTAGAATAGTTGGGATGTGCCACCATCATTCTCGCTGTCAGATCCAATTTCCGTTTCGCTGTCACATGCATTCTCACTGATAGCCGACTCCGACGCAAGTAACAAAGTCAACCTCGTCTTGCGCTTCTCGCGGTACTTTTGTTGCGCCTTCTTCTTATCCTTGATCTTCTTCAAACCAATCGCGTTCAGGCGATTCACGTACTGGATATTCGCATCGCCATCCTCAGCGCGAAGTGGATTGAATCGAATGTGCACATTAGTGATTGCCACGCAGGTCTGAAAGAGAACGTCGTAGTTCTTACGATTCCATCGGTAGGCATCACCACAGACGGCCCAAAGAGTCTTCAGTCGACCAAATTAGTTCTCCACGATGACGCGGTCGGCCGCAATGCGGTCGTTGGTGCACTGTTGGTCAAAGGTGAGAAAACCACCCGATG